CTGGTTATTTCAGCAGGCAGGACTGGCCTAGGGGTATTTTAAAGGGGTTTTAAATTAAATTTTTAGTAGAATGCGGCCAAATTTAAATATTTATTTTTAATCTTTTTAAATTTTGTATTGTATTACTGTTTTAAACTGGCTGTAAGCCGCCCTGAGTCCTCCGGGAGAAGGGCGGGGTATAAATTTAATAAAATCTAAATCTAATCTAAATCTAGATTACTTTAAGCATCTTTAGCAAGTTTCAGAGAGCATGGTTCTACTGCATCCAGAATAGGGGTGCAAGCATGGCTACAAAGATCTCTGAAAAGTCTCAGACACGAATCCTTGAATGAAGCCAGAAACAATCTGGGAGAATGACTCCAGGAATCCATACAAAGTGTTCAGAACGGATGTCCTGAAGGATCCAGGCAATATGTGAATAAGTGGCTTGATATAGCCTTCAATCACCTCCAAAAGGAAAAGCCTGAAACATTCCCATCTAAGTTTGGAGGAGTGGCTGGAAGCATCTAGACAAGGTCTGCAAGGGGAAATATTTAAAGAGATGACAGGCAGGAAAGATTCTGAAATATGGAGGACAAAAGCACGTTTACAAAGGAATTCCTTCTCACAGAAAACAGTATGTAAAGAGCCAACATATATTAAAGATGGACCAATTCCTGTTTTTTTTCCTCTCTATTCCTTATATATTGAGCCAAAAGGGAAACTGTTTCATTTCGAGTTCTGTCTAGCAAGATTTCTTCAAAGGGGAATTAAAAAGGAAGAGGACATAACAATTATTTGTTTGAAATGAGTTTCAGGGAACAAAAATCTATTTAATCCAGAACTAGAATTTAAGTATGTTAAGCTAAAAAATGAAAAACATAGGCCAGAGGAAATAGTTAAAGCCACAACTCAGAAGTTACAAAAGGAAGGAGAGCTTGAATGCGAAAGGAAGAAGACTGTGAGGACAAAAGGCACATGACGAAGTGAACTGCAGCTAATGAAAGCTTATATAATGAATTTCATTTGAATGTAGAGACTCAAGAATACAAAAGCTGTGTCTGAGGAATTAAGAAGTATAAATGATCTGAAGATTGTCACAGGACCTCTTGCAAATAGGTGAAATCTAAGATTTGGTTTTTTTAAAAGTCTTGTATATAGTGATTTGTGATATAATCTGGATATTACTTTTATTTGGGAAGATTCACGAGAGTTGCAAAAAAGTACTGAACTTTCTAGAAGGAGAGCCGTGTTAGGAGTCTGGAAACAGCTTTTCCGACTAACACATTTAATAAAATTAGCCTTTTAATAAGATTTGCTAGTTGGAAAAGGTGGTACCAGATTGCTTTCAAAAAAGAAATGAAATTTATCTGAGAACTGAAATAAATTAATTTAATAATGATATGAAAACCACTAAGAAATAGGTTCTACTGTTCTATCAAATTATATTTAATGTGTGGCTGTTAAAAGTATAGTTATGAAGAGTTTTTTGGGAGTTTACTGAGAATGTATAAAACCTGCTCTGACTTTCATAAATTCATGTTAACCCTATGACTGAAAATTGATCTGCCAGAACAATTTTTCAATGTCTATCAGCTCATACCAACACAAAGTTCTTACTTTGAATTTCAAAATTAAATCACAATTCCAAGATCAACCCACCTTTGAGGACTCCATCATGGCAATTGCCTGTTCATGCTTTTGATAGAGCTCATGTCTCCTATCTGGCTTTGTATGAAATCGTGGCTTCTTTTTAACTGGATCCTCAGGGCCAAATACTGGAGAGCTGGTTTTTAGAAGCTGGGTAATATTTTCCACAAAAATGAAAGGTTTAAAAACAGACCTGCAAAATAAAATGAAAATAAGCAAATATGCAAATTAGTTGCTACTTTCACATTCCAGGGTTATATTTCATTCAGCATAAGTTCCAGGAGAACCTAAATTTTCATATCAATTCTCTCAATCACAGTCTAGTTGATTGGGTAGAAAAGTTTCTGGAACCAAGAAGATGGCTTCCCAGCAGATAAAGAGTCCTAGTGTACTTTTAAAAAAAGAAGGCTTCCAACCCAAAACTACTGAAGCATTAAATGCCTTTCCTGTTGCAGAATTGGCTTAAGATGAATCAGAAATTTTATCAGATTCTTTAATCCTGTACTTTTCTAAAGCTTCTACTGATCTTTACTTACCCTGGGTCATATTTAGTACTTCTGGAAAGGTTTCAAGCCTTTTGTTTACAGATTATGCGTCTATAGATTATGTTGATTGATTACGCAGCTGTAGATTATGCAAAAGAGACAATCAACCAGCCCCAAAGAGAAAAAGATTCCAGCACCTCCCCACCAATAATCAGCACTCAGATCAGCATAGATTAACTCCAAGGTCACCTTCAAACCAACAATCAAGTAAGCAATACCCCAATCAAGAAACTGCCAAAAAGCCATTACTAAACAGCCCAACCAAAGAATCCCTAAGACCACCCCCATCCACACAGACATCAGCATATAAACTGACAGCAAACAGCACTTTTTACTACCACTAATGATGATACTTATCATAATTAGGGTGATGAAAGGTATGTAAGAAAACAAGCAAGCTCAGAGAGCATCAAGGACCCCCTCATTTCAAGCCTTTTATTTAAAATGGCAAAAAAATAAGGAAATGGTTAAGATTTTGTTCTTAGGACACATTTTATCTGCATTACCTATCAGGATCTGGAGTTCCAGTGAAGAAATGAATACAAGGGAGACTAGGATCTTGGGGAAGTATAGAAACCATGCTTCCCGTGGTCATGAAGGCACCTTCCATGTTAAGACCACTCTCTTTATCTCGAAGAATTGTCATCATTGTCTCAGCTGTTATGTTGCCTAGATAAGATAGGTTATTTGTTTAATACTGTATATACCACCCATTTAATATTTATGCAAAATTGCTAAAAGGCAGGAATAAAGCAACTAGTATATTGATAAGAAATGGCAACACGGTAACTTTTTTCTTTTCAACTTTAAATTTTAAAGTAATTGCTAAATACTTACCTGTTTACTCTGGCAACCCCTGGAATTTTTGTGGCCCTGCTGTATTTGTTATGGTTCATCACACAGCCAGACAGATGTTCAGACTGGATTTGTCTGACTAACGAGTTCTTCCCAAGGACCTGATATATGCTATTACTATTACTATTATTTAATTTTAGAAATATTGTTTTAAGCTTTTAATTGTGGTTTATTGTTGGGAGCCAACCTAAGTACTGTGAAGTGATAGTGCAAGGAGTACCTCTAAATAAATAAATGTGCTTGGTATCTTTTTCTCAAATGAGAGGATATGAAAAGCACCATTTTGTTTCCGCTTCTAACAACAACAACAACAAAATTGGATCACACCTGCAGTTTCTGTTGTAGAGAACAGAAGTCAAATGGGCTTCTGGTTATGCAGAGAAAAAGGTAACAAAAAATCCTGCAGGAAAAAGTAAGTAGAGCAAAACAGGAAAATATAAGAAAGCAAGGTGGAGAAAGAGGTGTTCCATGAAAATGAGAGATGAAGCAGAAGGCAAAAAAGAAGAGCAGAAGAAGTGGGAAGGAAGAAGAAGAAGAAGAAGAAGAAGAAGAAGAAGAAGAAGAAGAAGAAGAAGAAGAAGAAGAAGAAGAAGAAGAAGAAGAAGAAGAAGAAGAAGAAGAAGAAGAAGAAGAAGAAGAAGAAGAAGAAGAAGTAGTAGTAGTAGTAGTAGTAGTAGTAGTAGTAGTAGTAGTAGTAGTAGTAGTAGTAGTCAAGGTATATATGCACATGATCAAGAGTTGGATGCAGGCTGGAGATTAGACAGTCTTGAAATAATCAGCGAAATCTCTGATCTCAGGCATCTGTAAATCTAAAAAAATTCACTTTCTTTGCATGGTGACAGTCACTTTTCCAATCTAGATTTTCAGCATATCTTCCTGTAAATTCAGAATATTCAGTAACCATTTTAAAATAGCAATTGCAGTATTTAAGGTAATTCCTTTGTATCAATTTTAGAAGTTTTCCTCTTAAATAAATGAAAATAAAATATTAAGAGACCAGGGAGGTTTACAACAACGATTTTCTCTCAACTAAGTTAAAAAAAAAAAAACCTCCTGAATTGACTGATCACTTGATCACCCGTTGTGACTTAAAAGTGATTCAGGTAAGTACCTGAAAAATAGGGATTTAGCAGAAATATACTAATAGAACTCCAAAACATCCTTAACCTTAAACAAGCATTAAAAAGATGTTCAGCTTGAAGAACCCGCTATTCTGCCAATGAATGAAATTTGCATGATTACAGGGCAATCACACAGGCAAGGAATCCCCAGTAAAATGAATATTGAAACAGAAGGGTGCAACTGTGTTTGGCTTATTTTTTTTTTCAAAGCACACATTCCAATTTGTATGTTGAAGCTGATAGTAGCAAGGGAGAAATATGACCTTTTCCCTGACTCCGTCATTTTGGAAACTCTAATAACGCTTCAAAGAAGAAATATTTCAAAGTGGTGTGTCCCCTCCAAATGTGTGGTTAACACTGCAACTCCAGAATCCGTGGGCAGCAGGGCCATTGATTACACTGTCTGAGAATCTGGAGATGTGCAACCTGAGCACATGAAGAGATCAGACTGGAAAAGGCAGCCCTAGAGAATGTGTTTCTGGCAGGATATTTTTGGATAAACACAGAAATTGTGTTTTAAATACGGTAATATAAACAGTGGGAAAGAGATGGGGCAGAAAATAAGTATGGGGAAAGAGAGACAGGTGGAAAAGAGAAAGACAGAAAAACTTTAAAATTGCTAAAGGGCTTAAGTTGCCAATTCAGAGGGTATTCTATATCTAGAAAGTATCGGAACTCCTTGCATAGACAAATAATAAATGGATAATACATTTTAATGTTGTAAGATCCCTTGCTGCATTTGATTCAGGAACTATGTAGATGATCCAAGTTATCCAGTACATAAAACTATGGTAAAACATCAAAAAAGAGACTTAAAAACAGTATTTTAGGATCTAGTCTGGGCCCTCACTGGGACAGAGGTTTAGTCTTCCAAGCTTTTAAACTTGTGCTGGAGCCCATCTTCAGGGAATGTCTATTCTAAAGTTTATTTATTTATTTATTTATTATTTAGATTTATATCCCGCCCTTCTCCCGTAGGACTCAGGGTGGGATTCATGCTGGAGCCCATCCCTGAGGATGGGCTCCAGCATGAATTTTATCCATTTATCCTGTTCTTTCAGATTATATATAGAATATATATAGAATCTCATTAAACACTACATCCAAATCCAACTATAAAATGCAGCTATAAGATCTTCTATAACTTAACAGAGGTACCTGCATATTTCTTTAATAGTTTATAGCCTTCACAGTATCTGCCCCTTGCAGTTGTCATTCTGGCAGTATTCACATATGAGTACGTGGCAGCAAAATCAAATACTTCTTTACCATCCCACCAGCCTTTGCTTAAAGCATAATTCCTTAGCTCTGGATGTTCACGGTCAATTTTTGTTGTGATGGATAGCTGGTTGGAAATATTCCGTGTTCCTTCTGTTTAAAAGGGAGAGGAAAACATGCTATTACACTTCTAAATGTTTCTGCCCCAAACTGACCTACTTAAAAATTATTAAACTGAGATGTCTAAATTTACTGTTAGAAATTTGGGAAGAAGCTACTGTAAATCCCACAATATGAATGTTGACTGCTTCTTGACCCACTCCTTCCTCATTTGCAATAATTATATTTGGCCATAATAAACACACTGGGACAATTATAAACTAGACTTTTTCTCCCAGCTAAAACTAAATAACCAACAAATATCAATTTAAGCACTAGCACTAACTGAAAACCATGACTGGAAAAAAGAAATTAAGCACATGATCAGAAGAAAGCAGCCAGATCCTGGCAACTGAAATGGGTGCCAGTTTTTAATATAATGCTGAGATTTTTCATTACAACTGTTCACCAACTTATTTTTTTAAAAAAAGATGAGGATAAGGCATGTTGCAAGGAACTGCTAATCCCCCCCCCCCTCCATTTGCCTCAGAGGATCATGGAATGTATGGGCAGAAAGAATAATTTCTAAAATGTTTTCCTTTTCTCACCCATTCTCTTTTTCTTCAGTGCTGAAGAAATCTGAAGAAAGGGAAGTAAGTTGCCGCAGAAGCCTTTCAGGCTTAAATGAGGATTATAGCTGCTTTTTATTTTTAAAGGTTCTGCTGGCAGAGAATCCAGATTGTAACTGAGCTGAAACAGGCTTGCTTTCTGTAAAAACTGTAATAGCATTAGTGACATCACTTTTATCAGTATAGCACTGGAGAGAGAGGAGAGAGGAGAGGAGAGGAGAGGAGAGGGAGGGAGGGAGGGAGGGAGGGAGAGAGAGAGAGAGAGAGAGAGAGAGAGAAAACTGTGTGTAAGTAAATAGTTAGGTAGACAGACAGATGATAGATCAGGAGTGTCAAACTCGCTGCGTCACGTGACATGTTGCGATGTATCGCAACTTTTTTCCCCTTGCCGGAGCTGGGGTGGGTGCAGCTTCTGCATGACACATCCGGCCCGTGGGCTGGCAGCTTGACACCCTGGATTAGATGATAGATGATACTGTAGATGACAGATATAGACAGACAGAGATAGATGACAGGCAGGCAGGCAGGCAGGCAGATAGACAAACAGGCAGGCAGACAGATATGACAGATAGACAGACATTGTCCACTGAGAAGTCTTAAAATTGAATAAAGGTTATTATTTATACCTTTTACTTTCTCTGCAGCCCAGTGCTTTCCAGATGTTTCCAGAATCCAAGCTTCTTTTCTGTCTGTTATCAAAAAGCTGTTATGGTAGGTAAATGTCATTTGACTCTCCATACAGTTTCCACCTTGATTATACTTGTCCACCAATTCAACAATAACACCGACAGCTTTTTCTGCAGTATCTGCTCTTTCAAGTCCAAGCCTAAAATCAAATCAAAGGGTTTTAGCATTCTGTAACTTTCTTCAACTTCAAAAGACAGAATTTGGACCTGCTCATTTATTTCTCAATCTGGGCTCATGTTCAGAACCTTAAAACAAAGTTTTTGGGATGAAAACTATCACACACACCTACACAACATCCTAGCAACTACAGAACTGCCATGACAGAGGTGCCATTTGTCCGTTTGTCCATGCAAAACTTTCCTACAGACATCCTTGAACTGGTAGGCTGTCTATAGGGAAACCAGATTTTATGAACTACAAATGACTTATGACCACAATTAGGAGTGGAACTTCTGTTGCTAAGTGATCTAGCCGTTAAGTGAAAAATGGCTGATTTTACGACTTTTGTTATTGTAGTTGTTAAGCAAATCACTGCAGTCACTAAGGGAATCCAACTTCCCCCATTGACTTTTCTTGTCAGAAGTACCTGGGAAAGTCACAAATGGCGATCATGGGAGGATACTGCAACCGCATAAATACAGTACATTCCAACTGCTATGTGCCCACATTTTTGATCATGTGACTGTGGACCCTACGAAGGTTGCCAATGTGAGGAACGGTTGCAAGTCATTTTTTTCAGCACCGTCATAACTTCAAGTGGTCATTAAATGAATGGTCATGGGTCAATAACTACCTCTAGTGTCTTGTAGCTTTCATAGTTTCTGGACCAGGTCTATGTAGTTCCTTCAAAAGCTAGGTTTTAGTTTTCCATTTTAGCAGCACAATTCTGCATTAAGCCCCCATTTACCCCATAAACTCTCCAGGTAAAATATTAGTGTTGTTTATTTTCCATCTCATATAGTAGTTTCCAGAGGTGGCTGTTTGACAAAGCACCACAAGTATAAACAACCAATTAGTTTCCACTTGGTTTCACATTTTATCCAGCAGACTTAATGACAACCTGACAAGGTCCATGCCAAGGAGTGCTTCATCACTGCAGACGTCTTCTTTTCCCCATACGGCTTCATTCCCAATGCAGACTCCACATTCATTGGCTCCCATTTCAGCACCCCATAGCCAGGATGGACGGCTCAGGACAACTGCGTACGTTTTTGGTACTTGTTCGATTTCTATATAAGTACACTGCAGGAATGATAATTTCAAAAATATTTTATGAATTACTTTTTAAATCACATATAACAGATACAGTACTTCTCCGCACTTTTATTATAATGCTCTGGGAGCCTCCTAGCTCTCACTGGAATTATAAGATTCTTTTGAACAAAATGAGGTCCTGGAATTTAGAGGTTCCAGTGGAAGGCAACGAGAGCAAAAATCTGACTGCCCTCACAAATTTGTTCGTATTGTCTAAAAATATAGCAAATTATGGGCTCAAATCCTTCCTTCAATACCATTTTTTTTCTTATGAAAACTACATCTAAATTCAGCGGAACTATTTTCATGCAAGATTTTATGTTTAAATTCAGGATAAATGGCTACAGACCGGAATTAGAAAGGAATTCCAAGAAGTCGATAAAGTGTTTTTTAAACAAGCAACCGCCCTAAGTGGAAGAAAGGAGACCTATACCCCTAAAATATATCCTAAATATTCTAAGCTAGAGAATATATTTTGTTGGAATGGCCTTGAATTGTCTATCTCTTGCTGTACAAGGTAAGGAGAAAAATCATTCAAATTTAGATGTTCTGATATTCTATACCAAACCAAATATTGATGAAAAGGATTAAATAATGTACTTGCTTGCAAAAGTTCTTAAAATACCACATGCCTGAAATTATGGAGAACTACTTCCGTTTGGTGCAAATAATAGTAACCAGAGTCATACACATTGTGCTGAACCATTGTTTGCTTAATCATGGTTTGGTTACAACTGGCTTGGATTAAATAATGAATTAAATCATAAACCACAGTTTATACATTGTAATGGCCGAGTTCGCAGAATACACAAAACCCGAATTCAGACAAATCATACCATGGTTAATTGCAACCTTTAGCCAAAACCTGACAGCTAATTTGTATTCTCCACTGATCAGATTTGGAATCAGCCAGATTTTGATGGCTGGGCAACTTCCATTCTTGGCTTACAATTTCAATCCAGTATAGGTGTCTACTAGAATCTTCAATGATGCAAAAATGATGAAAGATACATCATGACAAAATAAATCTCTTTTTCTTTTGTACCTGTGTCCAGATTTGACTGTAAGTTTACAGGTCACATAGTTTGCATCAAAAATACACATTTCAT